AAACAAAGGAAGACAACAATTGGATTCTATAAACTGGTGAATCAAACCAGTATATCCACTTTAATAAAATTATTTTTTCACAGCAATCCTTTTTCGTGGGGAGGGAGTCGGTTTTTCCCCCAGTTCTTTCTCCTAGAGTGAAACACAGATTATACTGGGAAGTTTGCTTTGCACAGAATTAACCCCCCCATTTGTATAACACACAGATTATTGACAGTTTAAAGCAATAGGCAATACCCCTGCTTCTCCACTAAAATAGAAGTTCAAGACCCCTGAGAGTCTCTGAAAAGAATCAGTTTATTTCTTGCTCATTCACGTGAATATTACACAGCCTGTTCCCTTCCTCCTGTAGTCCCTCACCAGAGTCACAGCTCCTCTTCTCCTGATTCCCACTGCCTAAATCTGGGATGTTTTACACTAATCAAGTACCTCAGCAGAGCTGTGTTTCTGCTCCTCAAGCACTTGTTCACAWCCTGCCCTGAACTTTCCAAATGATCCTCCTGTTTGTTAAAGCAAYGAATGACTTTGTGCAAAGCAAATTTTTCAAAGCTGTGCAGCGGTTAAATAATTTAGTGCAGAACAGGATCACTGCCGTTAGCAGCTATTCACAGGTACCAGTTACCTCAACTTGAGAGACACTTTCACAGCACTTCCCAAATTCTGATAAATTGGCAGCTTTTATGCAAGAGGCCTATGGGGTTTTGGCAATTCCAATGCATAAGGATTTTTTTTTTAATTTCCCAGTAATTAACAACACAACAGGAGAGAAAAAAAATAAAGTAATCAATGTGTGTTATGTTGGGTTGGGATCTTTTCATTCAAAGTACAAGAACTACTTATCTGAAGATAAGGATAATTTGCACCATAGATTACTTAAGAAAGAATTAAATGGGATCTTGATAGGATTTACCCTTGAAATAAATATGACAAAACCCTTCCCCTAAGTTTGGTTGACAACACCCTACAACACCCTCCTTTGAACACAGCTCCTAAAGAAGAGAGAATCAATACAGAAATGCAAGAGGAAACAAACAGGTGTTCCAAAAGTTCTAAAAATTATGGTCTGCAAGGGAAGAAGGAACAATTTGGAGCTGCTTAGTCTAAAAAAAAAATGGAATAGCATGAAATTCCCCCAAGACATGAAAGGCTTATGAATTGAAAATGGGAAAAATCCTGTTTTCTGTATAAATGACAAGTAGGCCAAGGATTAAAGGCTTAAACTGGACCAGGAAGACAGAAAGAGCAGAAAAACAAAAATCTTAAGGAGAGTGAGGCAACAAAACATCTCACCCCTGGGAAACTTGGAGTTTACCACTGAAGGAGTCTTGAAGGTCTCAGAAAGCAGAAAAAATGGCAGTTTTAGCCTGGCTTTGATCTTCCTTCCACACCCCGATCATTCAATGGCTCGATAAAATGAGCTACGTTAGAGTGAATTGGAATTTTCAGGTTGAATCAAGTAATTTTTTTTTWWWTWWWARTATRCTTTCATYRCCTGATAAACCYAAARTTTGGTGTYATTTTCCTGATTGCTCTTCTAGAAATTTAGAGCAAATACTTTTTATTCTGCAAGTTGATTACGAGCATTTTTGGAACATCTCAAATTAGTATAATGATTATTGACTACATTCTTTAGGACTTCTACATTCTTGAAGAAAACTAACTGTTAACAATTTATTAGAGAAAAATCCTACATTTCTGAACTTTCTGATATCATCAACTCTATCAGATTTTTTTTACTATAAAGGTTAGTGTATAAAATATATGATGCAAAGTATTAACTTCACAATAAGCTCTAAAAAGTCCCTCTGATAGAAGAAAACGGCCTAAACAATGTCATAAAAAAGACTGCATAAAGAATAATGTTTTACATTTTCCAATGGGTTAAATTTAAAATTCTTTCTTAGGAAAAAATCTAACTGAAGCTTGTAGTTTGATTGAAGCTTACTCTAACAACAGCAGCACAGCAAGCAATCTACACTGTGCTTTTATGAAAATTACCTCAAAGAAAAAACATAACTTCATAAAGATTCTGAAGAAAACCTCCATTAAAAGTTTGACACTGCTCAGAGAGGATTGGACTACTCCCCACTGCATTTTAGTATTGAAAGATATCTGGAAATTATAACAAAATTGAATTTCAAACCAACTAAGACAGATCAAACATAGAGACACATCATCCTCTTTTCCAAACACATACATATAGATATATGAACAGAGTTCCCACTGCTTAGAAAAGGCTGACATTCAATTTTAAACTAAGCTAAGTGTTTCTCAGTTCATCTAACATTTATTACAACAAAGTCTGAAAGGTTGAATGTAAACATGAAATTTAAATATCTTTTAAGAACAGTATTTTTTTCCCCCTGAATGGTTATTATCATTTAAAAGAGCAAGTGCAATATATCAGCACAACTTATTTTGAAATGTTTTCCAAGGGAAACCAGAACATGAGTATGAAAACATATAATTTGTATTGACTTTCTACTGGAATAATGGAGCTCTGTAACATATTCTTGGGGCAATCAATACAAATTTAAATGTAAAGGAAACATTTAGCGTTTGGGAAGTCAGTAATGTAACAATGCCAGAACAGCAAAAAGAAAATGAGATGAAAATGAGACATGGAAATTGAACAAACTCTGAAGGAAAAGAAAGACAACACTGAAAACCTTCAAGAAATGAAAATAACTTAAGTAGAAAAAAAGAGAAAACAGTGGAAACTGCGAAAGGCTTTGAAAGAGAATCTAGAAAGAGAAGAATTTCTCAGTTCAAGCATTTTAAGTCTATATACTCATTACTCTGTAATTAATTATATTTCTCTTGCAATTCATTAGAATCCTCTGACAAACACGTTTTGGTTCTGATATGCAATCAGCACAAAAAGCTAGAATTACGCAATTACTGCATTTTCAGCATTTCTATTCCCATTTTTATGGGCTCATAAATAAATCTTTTTACAATATTCCAAAAATGTGCTGCACACTAACTTTACATTCTATTGCTGTGTACTTGTGAAATGTTTCCTATGTACAGGAAAATGCTATTTCAGATAGAAAAGAAAAAAAAAAAAGGCTAAAGGGCAACGCTATCATTTTCTGAGTAATTTTCTTCTCATCTGGAAAACAGATTATTAGTTTCTGTTCTAATAGAATACACACCTACTCCTGGTTCAAGGCATTTTAAATCACTATGGCTGTTCTAAGAATTACTTCATAACAACTGGTATTATTGAAATAGTTTGGCATTTGGRGGACAGCTTATCTTCATAAGGTCACTTGGAACTTTACTTGTAATAGTAATATATTAAAGTTTTTTTCTTCATTCTAAATTAATTCACTATCTGATGCCCAGAGACTTAAATGATAGGRACATTTTGAGCCTCACAGATTCACAAATGGAACCAAAATTGTTCTCACTTTCCTAAAATGCCCTTCACACTTGTCAACAACTGAAGTACCAGAGGATCTGTCCTCCAGAGAAMTTCTCATGCCTTCTGAATTAAATAAACTGGAAAGGGCCAAGATGATTAGTGACTCTAAAAGCATATGACATATTTAACCTGGAATAATTTTGTCACAGCTTTGATGGCATTAGGACAGTGACATTACAGTTTGTAAAGACAGGTATCATTTTTCTTTATATCAGCTGACATCACAGGTCTCAGATCATATATTTAGTATAACATTATTTGAAAAAAAATCTGGAAAAAATCAATTTGTAACTTCAGATCCTCAGCAACATCAGTAAACATTAACCAGAAATATCTCACGGGCTTAAGAAAAACTCAAACTCTAGTCTCATTTTTCTTCTTGTATAGCCCAAGTGAGTATATTTCACATTCTTTTTTTCYTGTTTAGTTTCCAAATATTGGTCATTTCAACAAATTTAAACTTTGTTKCAAGCTTTCTTCATATAAGTTGTATATACACTGTATATAACACTGTCTTAAACGCTTTTAATCCTTTCACTTCTCTAACCCAATAAGAATGCACTTTACTGCAAATGTCCATAGTATAGCAAATGAGATTGATCAAAAATCATTGAGAATCAGACCAAGGCACTGACACAAAGCAAGAACTGTAACAGCAATCACTGCAGAGTAAGAATAAATAAAAAATAACTTAATCATATTTACTGAATTATGAAATAGACAATGTGGCACATATTTCTGTTCAGAATTGCTAAGACTCTATCAAAGAATAAAGATAATATAGAATTATCAAAGAATCCTGAGCTGAATTATGAAAATCTAGACAGCAAACTCAACACCATTTTCAGGTGCCTGATGGGGAGGTAAAGGTGTGATGTCAGTTTTTATCGCATATATGAATTACTATTTTACACACAACACTGCACTTGAAAAACACATCCCTACCAACGCTTCTAATTTATGCTTCAGTACTTATTAATAGTGAACAACGAGGGGGATACATTCCCCTCTCCTGTTTTGGCTCATGTTGGTTTTCATGTTGATTAGTGAGCTGAGCAGGCTCTTAGTGCTGTCAAGAAACAAGCACCACAATGCCTTAGGGGAAAAAAAATTAGTTTAAATCTGGAATCTGCTAACAGGCAGCACATAATTGCACATTCAAAATTAACCTTCTGAACCCTCAGCCAATACTGATCAATAGCATGATTGATCCATTTCTTAAAAATGCATAGTAAATCCCCCATAAAGAATATATGTGTATATGTACATATATCCCGTGCATATTAACTATACATGAAAAACTGTATAAAACTTCAAACAATTTCAGAATTATACTGTATTAACATTCCTGGAAACATCTGGTGTTAACATTCTCASGTCAGCAACAACTTAATATTTCAATACCTCTTTGTACATCAAGAATAGGGACAGTTTTAATGAGCCCTCAGGCCCACACTTGGATAACCCCAGCCTGTATTTCTTACCCAGAAAAGTGAAATAAGCTCTCAGTAAGTGGCCATAACAGCAATTAAAGTCCTGAATATTGAATTTGCACTGAATTTCAGCTTACCAGTACTGACACAACTTTCTCCATCCTTGCTGAGCTTCCAGCCTTCGTAACATGAGCACTTGACAGTATTTTTGTGCTGTTCACAGACTTGGCTGCACTTCAGGTGCTTGGTACAGTAATCCATAACCTCACAAGTTTTGTTGTCTGCAGTAAGATTGAATCCTGCAGGGCAGGAGCACACAATTCTTCCTCCAGGAACCACAGAACACTGATGGCTACATCCACCATTGTTAAGTGAACATTCGTCTGAAAGAACACGGAATRAAAATAATTAAGGGCTGCAAGGGCCATCAGTTATGTCCCATACACTTAAAGCYAACTGCAACACCTAAAAAGGCCTCCAAGACATGCAAACAAGATTTTATATTTCTAAAMCAGATTTCTGTATTTATTTTTAAAATTATCTGATGTGCAACCATTCATCTGGTAGCTTTACTTCAACATTTCGAGATTTTAGCATCACCCATGTCCAAGTGGTGATCCCCAGAAGCCACAGTTGGGATTGTCACTGTTTAATATTTTTATCAGTGGCATGGACAGTGATAAAACCCTTAGCAAGTTTGAGATGAGAGTTGTGGGGATTCAGGAAAGAAAAGATGCCCTCCAGGGAGACCTTGACAGGCTTGAAAGGTGGGGCCTGTGCAAACCTCTTGGAGTTCAACAAGGCCAAGTAAAAGGATCTGCACTGAATCAGGGCAATCCCAAACACAAATAAAGGCTGGGAAAAAAAATATATTGAGAGAAATCCTGAGAAGGAGGAGGTGGATGAAAAGCACAACATGAGCTGGAAATGTGAGCTTGCAACACAGAAAGCTAAATGTGTCCTGGGCTACACCAAATTAAGCTGGAACCCAAAGGAAGGAGATTTTCCCCTCTGTTCTTGTGTGACCCCACCTGGAGGGCTGCATCCAGCTCTGGGGTCTGCAGCATGGGGAGGATGGGATCTTTTGGAGTAAGAGCAGAGAAAGCCACAAAAATGCTCTGAGGGCTGGAGCACCTCTGCTCTGGAAAGAGGCTGAGAACTTGGGGAACTTCAGCCTGGAGAAGGAAAGAGTCCAGGCACACCTCTGAGTCCTTTCCCAGGCCTAAAGGGGCTCCAGGACAGTGGGGAGGGACTTGGGACAAGGAATGGAAGGACAGGACACAGGGAGTGGCTTCACACTGACAGAGGATAGATTAGATTTGATATTGGGAATAATTTTTTGGCTCTCAGGTTAATGAGGCACTGGCACAGGGTGCCCAGAGAAGCTGTGGCTGCCCCTGGATCCCTGGAAGTGCCCAAGGCCAGGCTGGACAGAGCTTGGAACACCCTAGGACAGCAGAATATTTCCCTGCCCATGGAATGGGGGTGGAATGGGATGACCTTTAAGGTGCCTTCCAACCCAAACCATTCCATGGTATGAACCCAAGCTTTTGTAGTTGGAGAGAACTGCAAATGAGCTTAAAGCCTTTCCTACACACCAGTGCCCTTTATATGGTTCACCTCCAGGAATATTTCAAGGGGTTGGAAAATGAGGTTCCCTAAGGAACTAGGTTGTCCCTTATTTGAGGAAAACTAATCCTTCAAGCATAAACYCAGTATGATTTTATCAAAACAAAAACCCTCACAAAGGCCACAGYGATAAAATTTCAGCGCAAATAACACGTGAGCCTTTGTTTTAAAAGGAATTATTGCAACAGGCAGCACCATGAGCAATCAGAAAAGGGTGTCTAAAAGAAGTACCACAAAGATCGCCTTCATCAGATCCATCAGGACAATCTCTTCTCCCATTGCAGAGCTTCTCAGGCTGTAGGCAGATGGAGGTATCATTAGCACAAGGGTATTTTGGTGGTCCACACAAATAGCCCTCGCAATTATCCTCATCAGACTGATCCTCACAATCAATATCGCCATCACATAGCCACGCTTTGCTAATGCATCTCCCTTGGGGAAAAGAGACAATAAACACAGCAAATCAGACTGGAAGCAAACTTTAGGAGGAAAAAAAATAACCTTGAAAACAATATACAGATTTTTTTTCTTTTTTTTTTTCTTTTTTTTTTTTTAAATTATTATTTTAATAGTACTTTCCTCTTTGATGAGCAGAAGGAAACCATGTTGCACTTACACTCTGAAGCATCATCCACAGCACTGTTGGCAATCTAATTTTCCAAACAACACCAATCCTACTCATTTCTGTGCTGAACAAAACTGCATACAGGCAGGACACACTCTCATAATCTGTTAAATGTACCAAATAATACTAAAAAAAAAATAATGACTTTTAATTTCTGCTTTTCTTCATCCCTCTTCCTTTATCTTCTACCCCAAAAAGCCCTCCATAGGACCAATGTTTCAATGTATGACCTCTAACTAGCATGGGTTGAAAAGCAATAATCTTTATAGGAAGTTTAAACAACCTATTCCTCAATGATGTCAGATAAATTATCAGCTTTTAGGCAAAATAACTACAGCAGATGAAATTTCTTACATGATTTCAGTTTTGTCAAATCAGCATTCACTTCAGTTCTCAAAAAGGGAGGAAAAAAAACTCGTGCTGACCATCAACATTTAGAGATGCACGACAGCCTCTTGATTAAAAAAGGGATTTTAATCTTTAAAAAAACGAAGACATTTTAAACTAAAATCAGCAAAGCCCGGGATTTTAATGAAAAGAGCCGAGATTGTGAATGCTGAGACCTACAGGTGTTTGTGTGCTCCTGTCCCAACMTATATTTCAACTCAGAGACACAAATTTGCTACCAACTGACAGGAGGGGTTGGTTATAAATTCTGATAACACCGAGACTGAACAGAAATGTCATTTACTTTATTTTCCAATTAATAGAGAGGGAACAGACAGAACCATRGGTTATGAAGCTGATCTAGAAGAAGGTTTGGTTTCTTTGCCCATAAATTAATTATGCAGAGAAAATCAATTTAAATCGGAAAGAAGATCCTGAGAATTACATTGATAGAAGTTCTGGTGGGTGCCCAGGCACTGACTGACAATGTGCTCATTCCAAAGTTCAAACCTGCTCAGCATGAACTGACATGACTTTCTGCCCTCCTTTCCCTGTTCATACAATATCAGATTTCAATCTTCTTTGAAAGTATTTGTTGGAGATTAGTTTAATGCATTTGGTTTGACATTTCAGTTTCCTTTTGATGCAAAAAATGCTGATGTCCTCACAGAAAGTCAATGGGATAAAACACAGTGAAACAAGAACACTGAAAAAAAATATGATTCTTCAGCACTCACAAGGCAAATGTGAGACTATTTTAACTTTTGGTGAAGAAATGTAAGAGGTAAAACTTCAAGATCATTCTACATTGAGTGTCAGTTTAAACAACAGAACATCATTTTACCAGTGCAAAATCAGCTTGACCACAAACAATAAGGTGTGCCAATTAGAATGAAAAAAAACTCCACCCTTTTCTTCAGCAGCCCAAGTCCCAAATATCCCATACTCAAAAGACACAATTACACAGACACAAGGAAACAAAATTGTAGGCATGCTAKGTATGCAGTTTATCATTACATGCAATCACAAGTGTTTCAAAAGAGTCCCTGTTCTTTCTTATCTTGAACGATCGTTGATTTTATGTATTATTACAGCACAGCAGTAGAATTCAAGCTAATGGAAAATACCAACATCAACCAAACCAACCATAACCCAAAGTAAATTGAAGTTGCTTCCAGTAGAGCTCCTAATCTGTTATTTTAATCTTTTATGCATTCAAATGTTTACAGAGAAAATCAGTTTCCCTGCCTTTCTTGTACTTTAGTGAAGATATGTTTTRTAATGAAAGATTCATCTTTCATTATGATAGATGTGACATGTTCTTAAGTAGAATATACTTTCAAGGAATTAATCTCTGCCAAGGTTCTAAAGAGATGGACTTAATGAAATATTATGACTGTCCTGAAATCATTACTTTAAATTCACTGAAATATTTTTCCTTTATTGCCCCTTAGTGAAACTCACACTTCTGGTTTCCAGGAACCTTTTTAGTAAAACTCCATCATAAATTAATTGCCTCAACAGAAATGTCTGCCCTTTTCCAAAGCTCTTTCGTGCAGCACAGTGCAACAGAAGATCTGAGCAACAAGTATGTGGGAAAGCCTGGTCCAAATGCTCTTCTGATGTCTTTTTATTTCCTACAAATATTATCAAGTACAACAGAATTAACTATTTATATACCCATTCAGTCTTTTTCAAGGTACTGAACCCAGGAGGTTTTTTTTTTTTTTTTTTTCCTGACTGATTACATATTCAATCATAGGAAAACTACTTTGGTGGAGCATTAATTGCACTGTTTCCACTTACAGCTAATTCTTATTGACTAAAGCTGTAATGTAATGCCTTCCTAACCCATAGAATGGATTCAAGCTCATTCCCATCAACATTACAGAACAYTCCAATCTGACACCTTTAACAAAATGTTGTGATGGCCAATGATCTCACTTGTCCTGTAGAACACACCTGGGACTCAGACTGAATCACATTGTTTCAACAATGTGGTAATTTCTCGTATTCAAAGCTTTTAGTAGAAAGGAGATATTTATAAATGACTCCTGCATGAGACAGGAGAAAGAAAAATGGGTCTAAAGAAGAGAGCTGTTACCACAGAAAACTGATACCATGAACTAAGGACAAAACTACCAATTTGCTCATCATGTACCTGGGAAACCTTTCCTTCCCAGCCTTGCTCAGCACCAGCTTCCTTCCACTTGTCACACTCCTACATCTGGACAAGGAAAATCTGACAATCCCCATCCAGACAATACCAGTGCTGCTGTTGTTATGTTCTTCCAGTATCACTGTGATGAGCCCCCATTGACTGGATTTCCTCTACATACATCCTTACTTTCCATTCCAAAGAAATACTACTTCTATCCTCATACTTCCCCCCCGCCCCCCATATATTATTAAATGTAAGGAAAAAAAAAAAGTATAATAGTACACAGAGTAGCATCAAAAATGGTACAAAACCATTAACTGCTGCTTGAAAAAAAGAACAGTAAGCATGACAAATAAACAGATGTACYGCTTACTAAACATGGCTCTTTTGCATTTGTCTTCACAGAAGTACTTTATTATGATCATTAGAGTAATTAGATGACATTTTAAGTGAGATTGCACAGATTCTGCTGTTGGTGTAGCACCGCTAACTGAAAAGTAGGGAGATGGAATAAAGAGAATGAATTTATGTAGGACATAAAACTGAGCTGAAGTACATGCCTGTAATRATTTTGGGAGAACAGAATCACAATTTAAAATGGAAAATTGGATCTTAGTACAATTAAAATTAGTCTAGTCTAGTTTAAAAGAAGCCTAATCTAACTTAAAAACAGAAAAATAATTGGCTAGAAGCAGCCCAGGAGTAGTCAACCTCAATCAGATAATCACTGCTTCTCACATGCTTCTGCTGTGCAACTTCTAGTACATTTTTCATCACAYATCATTACAAACAAACACAAGATGTTTTGAAAAAAAATTACAAAAGCAATTCTGAAATCTGGTTGCTCAAGTACCCTGAAGCATTTTGGCTGACTTTGGATACTGCAGCTCAAGAACTGCCCAGTTCCAGTGAGACCAACAAAAATACTAAAGGTGTAAAACCATGAACAATGGATGATATGCAAGAGGAGAAATAAAAGTATTTGTTTATTCAACAAAAAAATATTTTTAGGGAGACATATGGCAGAAGTAATTCAATATCCAAAATAATTATATGACTTGTTTGGAATAGAATGTTCAGCTACTAGAGGTAAATAACAAAATGCCATCTATGTAAGTTAAAGAATACCCTCTGTCATATGTTCTTAACTGAATATTGGAAAAGGAGCTGGATATGATGGATTCTTGAGATCACCATCCCTCTAAGCAGGAAAATGCCTTTTGGCTGAATGCTGACAAATTCTGGTTTTGTAGCTCGGCACTCACGCCCATGGCAATGTCACACATTAACCAAAGTCACAAAAGCCACAATGAGGAAAGACCCTGCAGCTGCTATTTACTGACATAAAATGAAAAAAAAAAATAAGCAAAAAATGGGCAGAACTATCTCACTGTTACTATTCTCACCAGCTGCCATTTCCCTCCCAAAGTACTGGCTGTTTCAGCTCACTCCAGTCTCATGTTCCTACACAGAACCATCACATTCTGTATCAGATGTCACCACCAGCCAACCTCTAAGGGGAGAATTAACCAATACCCCCTGATCTGAAMAACTGTAATACATCTGGAAGCCAGACAGCATTATTTCTTCAGAATCATGCACAGAGAAAAAAATCCATTTCTTCTGAAATGTTCCAATGACTATTTCTCATAAACCCTTTGTTACTCCTTTGTCCAAAYCACATGGAACAAACTGAAAACAAAGCTAAACAAAAATATGCCTTTTCTGTTTTCTCCTACGTGAATTACCAACATGCCTCCTCCAGAACCACATTGCTCCTTCCAGGACTGATGGAAAGAAAATTACGACAGAAAAACGCATTATGGCTGTCATAACTGGTTGCTCAAGTGGTGTCTCCACACAACAAATAAGCACGATTGCATTTTCCTCCAAATCAAAGCCATAAACCATTGAATTTAGCAAATATTTGATCTTTTTTTTTTTTTCTTTGTTGTTGTTATTGTTGTTGTATTTCTATCTGGCAACCAGAGAAATCACCTTTCATCCTGAGACAGTGCCCTCCTTACACACGACTGCAAACACAGGGAAGTCAATAATGAGGCAATGTAGTTTACACTGTGGACTTTGGAACAGGATTCTAGCTCTCTGTTGAACARACAGCTCATCCAGGCAATTATCCTAAAATTAACTCCTTGCTATTTCCTGTTATTATGGCAGCTGTATTTCACCTTTGCAAAATATCCTCATATAATGATTGCCACAATTTTTTCACACCTTTTAGTAAAGCAGATTTAGAGGAAAAATATGATTTTAAACCTTCTCAAAGATTGTATTTTTCTTCCAATACTACACTTCAAATTTCCAGTGCTGCATTTCTAATTCTTGGAAGTATTCAAGGAGCTTTATAGCGTTTTATTCAACTCACTTCTAGGGCCCAAAATGGAAMACAGAAGAAAACCCCTGAACTTTAGAGTACTARTAGATGCTATACTTAAGTATTKGGTGTGATGTACTACTGTAGAGAGYGGTTTTGGCTTTAAGTAATCTCAAAACTCATCCATTTTCTATTGTAAATCAGAAAAGAGGGCATGAAAATCAATATTATTTCCTATTAGGAATACCATAAGTAACCTCACCTCAAAAGTAATAAACATCAAAAGCATTATTGAAAGAGGAGATCTGTGATCAAACAATACAAAGAGACACAGAGTAAGTGAGAGGAAAATGCATTTGCAAGAACRTACCTGTGCTCTTGCAGGAGAACTTTGTTTTCTCATCACACACTCKCAGAGTTCCATTACAGCCTTTCTCATCACTCCCATCTTCACAGTCCTTTTCCCCATCACAGCGCCACAACTCAGGAACGCAGTTCCCATCAGGACTGCACTGAAATTCTCTCCCGCTGCACCTTCCAGGAGAGGGAGTTTCTTAGAAAAATAAGAATTACATTGAAGAATTTGCTGATGTGAGGTTGTTTTCCATTCTAAATCTACACCGACTTAAAATCCTCTTCCTAACCAAAATCAGAGTCTCCAAGTCTAACATTCAAAATGCCCTATTCCATCCTACAACTCATCACTCCAACACAAGCTTCAAATTCTTCCTTCTCCTGCTCAGTTCCTTCACTCTCCCCTTCACCACAAGCTCACAGCCAACACCATTTTTTATTTCTTTTTTTTTTCCCACATCTGTCAGACAGGACTGAGTTTGGAGCTGTAAGGAGGACTAAGGCTGGTGAAGATTTCCTGRTGCTCTGTAAGCCCTGTGTATAATACTCAAGCTGCTTTCTCTCCTCCTCCCTTCTCATTCTCTCCTTTTACCCAGCAAGGTCCATCTCCTAATTCACAATTTGAAAGGTCTCACCTGTGCTCTAACAAGGCCCCCACAGCTGCCTGGTTTTAGCAGTCACAGCCCTGGCAGAGCAGCTGTGGCTGCTCCAAATTCCACTGCAAGGAGCTCACGCAGAACAGCCCTGGAATCAGTGCTGACTGYTTCAAAGAATAATTACCATGTGATTTTAATTATTCATCACATGCATAATTCTCTAAGCACTTTCTAGGTTATGGCTTTTTCAATTTTATTCTTGCTTTTCCCAGACTATTACCACTGTATTTCTATTATTTAATAACATAATAACAATAACAWGAACTTTAAAGTAATGACATACTTACACTTTCCTGCTTGTACCAAAAAACATTATTTGAACAAATTCTTATAGCACTGTTTATAAATATACACTTTATTTTATTTAATATTGCTTTGTTGGGTTTTTCCCTACATAATCTTCATTCTTATGTTCCATCATAAAAAGTTGGAGCAAGGATTTAMATTTCAAAACTGAAATGAACAGCGGTAAAAGTGGGTTGTTCAGTTCCAGATTAATAATTTTGATATACATAAATATTGTTTTTGTGAATACATAAAAAAATAAGGGCTTCACTTATGCTGGCATTCTGATAATTCAGTTATTTGTATGGTCTGAAGCTAGATTTAGAAGATAAACTTATGAAAAGGTATAAATAGCATTGTGTACAATTACTTTGTTGTGGAAAAAAATGAGAAAAATGTGAAAYATATTCCTTCATTCTGATTTTATTATTCTTTATCCTTTGCTACAGACATCCTTCCCTTCTCTCTCCACCCAAATAAATAAAATCAATGGGATTTAAATGGGACTGTAGCTTGTTAAAATGCTTTCATGTAAAAAAAGAAAGCAAAACCAAAAACTTGGGGTAGAGACTTGGATCACACAGAAATGAGAGTATTACTGTTCCACTGCATGAGAAAAAACAGAAAATATCAATACTTTAAAGAATGCTTCTTACTGTCTCTTCACCTSAACAGCACACATCTCTGTAATCAAACACCACATCTAGCATAATTCACTAAAATAAAACTATAAAACTTATCTCATTGTAATACCCATTGTTTTCAAATGCAATCCTCTTCCATGATACACTTCTCTTATCACATTGACATATTTCCCATTTTACCAAGGTAAAAGCATCTTCTCTTTTTCCACTGGCTGAAGGTCAGGTATTTATAACAAATTATTCTCTGTGTTTGTAAATATTATAACATGGGAAGGAAAAAAAAAAAAAAAAAAAACAAAAAAAACACGAATCTAACCTTCCTTGCTGCAGTTTGTTTTGGTTTCATCACTGAAATCTCCACAGTCATTGTCACCATCACACGCCCAGTGGCTGGGGATACATCTGCCATTGTGACACCGGAACTGATCAGCAGAGCACGAGTGAACGCAGCCCAGCTCGTCACTTCCATCGCCACAGTCGTCATCTGAAAATGTCAATATTTTAAAATATTTTAAATTATTTAAAAATATAAAGTATATAAATAAAAAATGTAAGGAGGGAAAAATATCTTAAAAAATACAAGAAGAAAATACGGTAAATAAAGGAGTATGTTCTCAGCCCACATGCATGTTGTACAATTATTTCTAATACAAGCAATACCTTAAAACTTATTTACCAACAGCATTCAACTCTGTCATTTTGGATAATTATTCAATCAGAGGCACCAGCAAGCGTGAGAAGGCTGTGGATTTTCCTAATTTCTTTAGCTGTGGGTTACTACAGAGACTTCCAAACACCGTGGGTTTACTTTATTCTCTGTGATAACCTAAGTTAGTTAGACCCAAAAAGCTTCATGTAAAACATGAAAACCTGATAATTTCCATCTGGTTCTGTAAAACCATGATAACCTGATAACTTTAATAGTATTAAAGTTTGTTTCCACGTGCTTACAATAGTGCAAAGTGGAGAAAGCACATAAATAATCGTGAACTGCAGTTTCTCATTACTCTAATGTTGTAGTCATTACACGAGTCTTAAGGCAATTCCTGTAATTTRATCGTGGTAATCGAGGGAGGAAGAAGATAAATATGTTAGGTACACTCTAAAGGGTCTCCATGCACAGAAATTCAGTCAGCAYACTGCGATAATTTTGGGAATTTTTCCATTTACAGCTACAAACTCCTGCAGGACAAATGAAATTATAGCAACACCAAATGCTTTGGACCAACMCAATGCTATTAGGAGTGGAGTGACATCACTCCCACACCACAAGCTCCAAAAGGAGATTCATTTTAACATTCAAATATGTGCTCTTTCAGCCAAATATTGTATATGTAATACCCATCAAATTAATTTCAGATGTAGAGGACTTGGTACTTGCCTGAATCACAGAGCCATTTGCTGCTAATGCATCTTCCATTTCTGCAGATAAATTGAGTGAGTGGCTCACATGTTGGGAATTCTGTGAAAGTGTTCAAAAAGAAATAAAAACTACTTAATGTACAATCCCTTCAGTAATGTTCTGCCACTTTCCTATATGCATAAATTACACAAGTGTGTTGTAGCAAACATTTGCACCTTCCAGGTACTTAATCAGGAGAGGGGAAAAAGGTGAGATGCCAAAAAGAAAATATAAAAAAAAAAAAAACCCAAAAAACTTTAAAAGGTTTAAAAAAGATAAATGAGAAATAAGCACAAGTAGGATCAGAAAAGCACCTAGCATCCTATCAGTGTCCAAAGAACGTGAAGGGAATTATTGCTAAAAAATACCAAACTGAGCTCCCTGGCTCCCAGTTGTGAAGAYAGAGGATCAAGTCTGTGATCATACAAGAAACTGTAGGTTATCTCTGACCCAGATGATCTTCTGCAGGYTTTTTTGATGGATTTAGTTTTCATTTGATTTTGATTTCTAACCAAACTCTTTATACAACTGCATTTAAATACAGGACATTTCTATTTAATCTGTAGGTACAAAAGAACCAAAAGACATTTACTCTTTATACTCTGACAAATGGAACATCACATGGGACCCTATACCTCTATTAGATACTTTTTTCCTATTTTCAATTCATACTGGAGTGGCCAGGATATACTGCCTTTGATTGCAGTAATCTCAGGATTAAGATTCCAGGTACTTAACCTGGAGAGGGGAAAAAGGTGAGACAACAAAGAGAAAAGATAAAAAAGGTTTTATGTGAAAATACTGCCCAAACCCTACCTTTCATCACCATGGGCCATGAAATTCATTATTCTGTGACAAATGGCATGGAACTTGTATTCCCATCACACCAGGGCTGGTTTTCCCTCTAACCATGTWAATATTTAAGATTAACTATGGCCTGATAACTGATACAAACTGTATTTTCCATGTGCTTATTTACCTAAGGGTTCTCCAGTTGCAGCAGCACTGCCAGTAAGAGCCAGGAAATGGAACACTATAAAATGGGAAGGTTAAGTACCAAGCTAAACAACAGCCAAGAAATAAAGTTACTCTACGCTGGCATAATAAAATCCAAAATTAAAATGTCAGCCTTTACAAGAAATTCCTCCAAGCATTCCAGTAAAGTAGTAGAAATCTGAGACAATATCATACACAAAGGATCATCTGCATTGAACACAGGTATTYGTTTTTATTATTATCTAATATGTTTCTGCATAGAGTAATTTAAATATAATCTGATTTTCTTCAGACTTCTTTTTCTTCTAAAATAAATAATGTAAGTAGGTGTGTGCATTTATTATTAATCTGCTAAACACTTTGGAAAATACTTCGGAGTTTTTCTAAACTTTTAAAACATGCTACAAAAATATAAAATTTTCTTAGGACCAAAAATGAAATCACCTTTTTTTGGTTTTATTTTTTTTCAGTTTTGGCCAAGAAAAAAACAAAAAAAAAAACCAAAAAAAAACCCCGCGAAAAAACAAAACAAAACTGTTTTCCTGGGGGGACACATCCCAGAGACAACAAAAATCTATTCTGAGAAAAATAATGGAAGTGTGCAACTGCAGTTGCTCCTAAACACAATATACGCCTCATGCGCTTCAAGAAAAGCTGAAAGCACTTTTAATTTCAGTTTTTCAAATATTTTTTTCCCCAAGTTTAACTCGTAGATTTAACATAATTCTCCTCTTTTCTATGCATGAATGCCTTCACTTTCTTCATGTTCATCTGTCTACCCAAGACCTGTACATGGGGACAGAAACCAATTAAAGTGAATTGTGATTACTCTCACCACCACCACCATCAGACACCTYGTGATTCCCAGCCCACCTCAGCCTTCCCAGGAATATTTTGGAATATCTCCAGTGTTACCCCAGCCTTCACTGTTATCCACAGATCCTGCTCACGTCCCAGAGGACACACAACACTTCCCCTTGCTGTCCCTATGGTCCTTTCCTATTTCACAGAMCAGAGATGCAGATCCTGCAGCTGATCCACCCCCAGCCCTGTCCTGACTGCCCTGAGGACAGAGAAACCAAGAAAGGTGATCCTTGAGCTCTCAGTGAAGTCTCTCCATGGTGTAGACAATCTCATTTCTTTCTGCTGTCCTCATGGATACAAGAATGTGAAATTGTTTCAGAGAAGGAAATAATTCCCACTAAACAGAGCAGGTAAATAAATGCCATTAGCATGCCCATCAGCCGTCAAATTATAAGGCAGGATGAAAAAAAAAGTATTTGACATATTTGCACAGCTACAATGCTTGAGGATAATGAAACAAGATTCCAAAACATGAAATACATGAAAARCTTGGCTAAACAGAAAAACAGCAAGTGAAATAAATCCTGATTAAAAGATCTGAARAATTATTCCAGATCAGMTGAGRGGMTACTGARCAGAGCTCATGGGAAGGACTYAGACAGGTTCCAGGAACATCTGTGAGSTGCTGATGTGACTGAGAACACGAGGGGCAGGCAGAGGAACTGKTCAGCACTGAGAGCCAATGCTGTGCCATTACACAGGGAGTTCAGACTTTAGGGATTGCAAACACAAATCCATTGGGATCACTCATCCCAACTCTGTACACAACTGAACTTACTTGATTTGAARCAAGGCAATTAGAAGTCTACCTTAATAATATTCTTATTTTTACTCATTTAATGACTATTTATACTTGCAAGTGCTCAATGCCAGTTTGCATGGAGCTCTGGTTTAGTGAAGATGGCCCTGCCCATGACAGGGGRTTGGAACAAAATGATCWTTAAGGTCCTTTCCAACCCAAACCATTCAGTGATTCTAGTTTGCAGTACATCATATTCCATGATTCTGCATTTGCAGACAGCTCATTCACCCTTCTGCTCTCAGACTCACAGCAGTTACCAGTGCCCTGCAAAACAAATGACTATTAAAATCCTTAATTGTTTGGAAGCAGCTGATTAGAGAGAGCACAGCCCTCTCTGCAGTATCTCAGSAAAGCAGCAGTCAGCACAGCTGCTGATACTCTCTCATGATAGAACCAAGGATTTTTGGTGTTTTTCCTGAAAAAATACAACATCAAATATCCTTCTGTTGAGGCTTGAAACAGGCTGATTTTATTGACATCTAGAATATGCTGAAGGGGCCCATGTGGAGAGGTATGTGGCAGAGATAAAGAATAATTTTTGAGGGTGACAGCATTTGATAATGGGCTGTAAATTAAAAAAAAGTGTTGATTGATCTGCATATTTGCTATTGTAGTTAAAAACTCATTAAACAGAAAATGCTGCATTTGCTTTGGATTTATTTATTAATCAAATAATTTCCATTTGCCGTTTCAGAAATACTATTATCAGTTCAGTTCGCATGAAAAGAGATCCTTACACGCTTTATTTTTCACAGAATAATTTCAATTTTTTTCCCACCAAAAATTAAAAATCCACTTACCACAGGATGCCATTTCATCGGTTCCATCTCCACAGTCATCCTCCCGGTCACACAACCACGACGTTGGGATGCACCGTCCATTCCCACAAGAAAATTGATTAACCTGACACGTTCTTGCTGTCAAGACAAAACACTCCACAAATACAAGGGAAATGGACTCGATCCGTTAGGTTTCTCGGTGTGTGTCTGATTTTAGAAGCTGCAGGGCTGGAGGGCACCTCCTGGCCTTCTGAACCTTTCCCCTGCTCTGACCAAACATCATTCACCTCCTTTGATTTCAGAGAAAATCGAGGTCGCCTGCAGGATTCTGTTTTACCTCTGTCATGTGGAAATCTTGGTGGTTTCTTCCTCATAAAAGCACCAGAGGTTTTGTGTGTAATTGTGAAAAACTAGGTGGTGAGAGGAGCATTAATGTGGGGTAAAACAGCACTAACGGCTGGAGTAAACAAAAATCATGGCATAAAAATGTTAGAATCTTAAAAAAATTGTATTCCATAACATGAAGATTGATCTTATGAAATCCCAGGAAAACGGGAATGAGCCTGTGTGTGATGTGCCTGCCCTCACTGCTCTTAGAATCCTTGTCTTTGCAAACATTAACTGCAATCATCCATTAAAGGAATCAATGCATGCCCTTCTCCTCAAGAAATAAGGGTCACTAAAAGAATTTGTGCYATGCARCTGCAGAAATTACTTYGAAAGCTGATGAATAGTAAAATGCWRCTARAAAGCTARCATAGAAAACTGTCATTACTTTTAATTTTAYTTAAAATGTGAACCCTTARCAATGCCAGTGAYAGCAACACAGATTTTGATTCCAWATTTAAGCTGGAATTTTACAGTTCACCTGGATGTTAGTCTACACTTTCAAAAAATGGCTGATAGGTCAAAAACCCCAGTAACTGAAAGAACACTTCTTCATTTGTTATTTTCAACTACCGTTTCCCTTTTTCTTCATAGAAGTAGCCCAAAGCACWAAAGAGGAATGTAAGTTTAAAATAATTCAAAGAAGTAATTTTTTAAACCTTAATACTATTTGCCACAGGAATAAATGGAAAAAAAAGAATACAAAATCCAGTCCATAGCCAACTGACACAGGGATTAAAAAAAAGGTCTTCAAATTAGACTGCCACTGTACAAGCAAACAGTTGGATATCAAAGAATATCAAGAGAATAAGACATGAGGGAATATTTCAATACAAAATGAGTGCTGTCTTTCACTGCTCTTCAGTTCAAAACAGTCATCAGGTTATTGAGGGCTGGTATTTGGTATATTGGAGATTTGTTTAGTGTAGTCTGACAACAAGTACTAAATATCACTTTCACACAAGCAAAGGACAGATTGGGAACTCTATGATTTACTACAGTGGAATCAGTAAACAATCTTCATCTTGCTATTTCCTTAAAACCCCAGAAATGAAAAAAAAAAAACAACCAAAAAAACCCCCAAAAAAACCAACAAAAAACAAACAAAAAACAAACTTCAAGGTACTGAATGGAAGCTGAATAACTAATTATGCATGAACTAAATCAGCATTAAATAAAATTTACTGGAGATATGGCACCCATCACAACACGTTAACAAACAAAATTCTAACTGCCAGAAAAGATTTGTCCCTCAAAGTTTGTACCTGAGCATTGCTTTGACAGTCAACCCATATGGAGAGATTAAGTGCTAAATTACATTGGAAAGCACAGTTGAGCACATGGATTAAGTAAAATATAATTTGTATTCCAGCCTCAGTGGCATCAAAATCTGAATTCACTTTAAATGTCAAAAATAACTAACTACCAGTAGCTAACTACCAGTAGCAGACTGGTTTGGTTCAGTTCAAATCAGTCCTGAACTATTTATGGAAATGGAAATTAGAGAACCTGTTTGCACAATCAAGTAAAATTTTTACCTGCACAAGTTTTATTTGATTCATCTTCATTATTACCACAGTCATTAGCTCCATCACAAAGCCACCTCTTGGGAATGCAGCGATTATTCTGGCACTTAAACTGATCATCAGGACAACTGTGATTGACTGTGGAGAAAAAAAGAGAGGATTTTTTTTTTGTTTTTTCCAAAGAAAATAATCTGAGAAAAACAGCTCTGAAAACTGTGAAAAGAACACAATAAATTGTATTCCCTGTTGATGCAGTTAGTGTGGTTATCCTGCATATATAACCACCAGGACACAAAAATTGTTCAAGAAACCAGTCAATTGCAAATATTGCAGCACTTCAACCATAAATTAAATCATAAATAGTCAAGATRCCAATATGGAGATCCTCTTCTGTGAAGTGATAAAAGGTAGAAGCATCATACAGTGTTGCTCTTTCCTTAAATAAACATGTCCTTGATCCCATTTTAGCAATGTGATGAGGTTTGCAAACTAAAGTGCATATAAACAAAGGAAAACACCGAAGGGAACAGATGCAAGCTGCAAAGTGTAGATCCAAAATATTATAGCACAGTGAGCAGGGATTTGGGCAGGTCATAAAATGCTYCTAAAATGATGCACATTACTGTCAATGGCCACATATAGATCTGCTGTTTACTTACCATGAAATTGTGGGTGTCACAAAGTGAAATATGCAACACGGTGTGAAAATAGCAAAAAAAAAAAAAAAAAAAATCTGGTACTCAGGAGTGAACAAGGTATCTCTCAAACATGTTTTTGCTGGCTACCAATTCTCATGGAAAGGATGAAGCTGCATGTACAGAAATTATGTAAATACTATTGGCCTGCTCTTGCAACTGGAGTAAGTGTTTATGTTCTTATTCTTTCATGCTAATAAAAACATCTGTTATTAGCTCATCTTGATCTAGGCAAGAACAGCAAACTGCACACATTTTGAAGTGCTGGGTTAAAATAATCTCCAGCTATTTTTCACCTACTCAGCCATCCACAGCCTCTTTTTTAAAACTTGAACATACATCTGGAAACAAAGGGTATTTAAAATGAAAGGATGTCTTGCAGGTTTATCCTTGACATTTCAGCAGCTTTTATCTTTGACCTTTCTGCCTATTCTCCCAATTGAAGATGACACAGAGCGGGGGTGATATCAATAGCACATGAACCCTCTGTGAGGGGTTCGTGTGAAGGGTGCAGAGWCACAGGAAGTAGAGATTAATTAATAATCTGAGCAGAAAGGTGTCCCAAACCTCATACTTCCGAAGCAGCCTAGTTTGAAATGTGACTGGAGAACAAAACTTGAAGCATACATGTAATAAAAATAAAAGTTAAAAACATTTTTTTTTTTTTTTAGTTTGCCCTTAATATTTGACATAGCTACTGCTTTAAATGGTAGTTAAATTTTTGCCCATATATATTTAGTTATACCTGTGTATTCTACTCATAATTGCAAATATTTCAAACTCATAAAGAACTATTGAAGTTACCATGGCAACTGCTGAGAAGAGATCAATGTTACCATACTGGCCACGTAAACTATAGATCACATACAGGTTTAAGACCTGTAAATGATTATGATTTCATTCATATCTGTGTAAATCCTCAGAGAATTACAAGCTTTGATCAATGAATTGCTTTTTCTTACACTAATTTAAAAGACAATCAAGTCAAATCTGCTGAAAGATTTTCCTTCTCACTGCCTTTATTAGTTGAGCTCCTTAATTTAAGTTTAARAAACCCTAGTATCAAAACAAAATGAGAGTAAGCACTGTAGTTCAGAACAAGAAAAAAATATTTTAAAAAAATATTGATTAAATCAGTGATGGCTATCAAAATGGAGCTATCAAAACACATAAATGCTGGTTAAAAAAAAAAAAAAAAAAAAAAAAAAAAAAAAAAAAAAAAAAAAAAAAAAAAAAACAACAACACAAAAAAGCAACACAACAAAGAAACCAACAAACAAACCCAAAATTGGCCATGTAACAGCCACAGGGAAAAAGGGCCTGGCATTACAAAGGATCACAAGATCCGTTTGTATCAGCAGCATCAGGCCTGTGTGAAGCAGGCAAGATTTACTCAAGGATGAATAAACAATCATCCTTCACAAACACATTCTCTCAGCTTAAGCAGCTTCACAAAAGCCTCAGCACAAATACATACATCCAATTTTGGACATCCAACC